TGGTTTTGGACTGGCACGGCTCCGGCCGTTGCAGCCACTTGGGAAGTGAATCACCCATGGAAAATCTTCCTGTCTCTCCACTCTGTATATCTGACTCTCCAATAAAAATAAATATTTTAAAAACAGATGTACAATCACAATATGACTAATCCTACTAAATTTAACACTGCTTGAGAAGTATGAAAATGCAATCTCCCCAGGGTATTGTGTTCTCTGTAATATTTAATCATATCTCTTGAGGTCATATCCAAACTTTAGTAGATTTGTTATAACATGGGATTATTCCTGTCATTTTAGAAATATACTTTGTAGCTTTCAAAAATGCTTGTTCATTTATCTATATATAAATAAAAGTGACATAGCCAGATGTCTTATCCACTGGCTCATAATGCAAATGTCCAATAGCCAGGGCTGGGTTAGGATGAAACCAGGATCCTAGAACTCCATTGTAAGTCTTCCATGGGTGTGGTGAGACCCAAATATTTAACCCATCTTCTGCTGCCTCAAAGTGTGCACATTAGTGTGAATGTTGGATCAGAAGCAGAATAACTTGGACTCCCAGCACTCTGATATGGGCTGCAGGCTTCGTGCATGGTGACATAGCCAGCTTTGCCACAATATCCTTTTCTTTGTACATTCAGCCAATTCTCTTCAATATAATCTATGTTTCCTATAGGCACAATAATATAATGTAATGTGGTCTCTTTTAGTTTTGGAACTACACAATTATATTTTAACTTCTTAATTTTATAGCATAAACCATTCTCCAATGGTTTTTACCATTTTAAAATACAAAAAAAAAACTTGTTTTATGGAAAACGATAATGCCTATACATAAGATGGCTCATCTACTCAAAACAATAACCCAAATTTAACTCTAAAATACTCAAAATAAGCAAAGCTGCTTTGCAGTTTAAATGATTCTAGGCAAAGAGACCATGTTAACTTGCAGCTCTAAAACGAAAATCTCTTAACTATCTGTTACAACTAATGTTTAGAGGTTAATTTGCATGTATGCTTTATTTTTTAAAGATTTATTCATTTAGGAAGCAAAATTGCAAAAAAAAAAAAAAAGAGAGAGTGAGTGGGTGGGGAGAGAAAGAGAGACATCTCTGCTCTACTGGTTCACTCCCCAAATGGCACCAATAGCTAGGTTTGTGCCAGGAGCAAGTCAAGAGCCAGGGCATCCATAGGAGTCTCCCAGATGAACATTGGGTACACAAGGACTTGGACCATTTTCTTCTGCTTCCCCAGATGCAGTAGTGGGGAGCTGGATCAGAAGTGAAGCAACTGGGACTTGAATCAACACTCAAATGGTATTCTAGCATCACAAGTAGTGGCATAATTTACTGGGACACCATGCCAGCCTCTGCACATACTCTTTCTTGCTTAAAGACTTTAGTACTTTCTCCTGATTTAAGATGACTTCTAGATATTTAATGTCATTTCATTCACTACTGGTTTTCTAAATCTTAGTCTTGGTAGATTATATTTTAAAGCTTACTAGCTATTCTGGAAGTGATATATTTTACTAATATGAATCAGGAAACGACTTCAACTAGTAGCAATTGAAAGCACTATACTCTACTTGTTCCCAAGGTCCTAAAGAAAAAAAATGTCAAGAACAATGCTGTTGTTTTAGAAGCTGCACATTTGAATACACTTTGTTTTTTAATTCATGACAGTATAAACTCAGAGTTACCTCCCTGAAAGCAATCATAAGGTTGAAGTTTTGTTAAATACTCATGGAAATGTCTGAATAGTAAAATAACTTTTTAAAAATTATACTTTGCTTTGAAGATAAATATAAATTTTTATTTCAAATAATGCAGCAGAAGAAAAGAACACCATAGCTGGATCGCTATGCAAGTGTGATTTTGTAGGCTTTACAACTGAACATTTTTTTAATCTATTAATCCATTAATTGATCATCCATAAGAGATGGATTGTTTGTAAACACTTGAGATTGTAAATGTCCATTACAACACTGTTTTGCTACATGAGTAATGAATTTCTAGTTTATACTTATAATTCCCTCAGTGCCACAAGTCATGCACTAGCATCTAACCTATAAGATTTTTGATTCCTGTTTTCACTACTCTTGTGATATATTTCTATTTTTATAGTATGTTTGTTGGCAGGCGTGTGGTCTGGCTCTGGTGGGGCAGGGGGACAAACCATGCAGGACAGGCCAAACCAGAGCATACTGGCATGCACAGGAGCCGGGATGGTGTGCTGGCCATCCTAACCCAGAATAAGCTATCACCCCTACCAGACTTCATGAAAACCAAGGATGAGGAAAAGCTGGGCAGGGCTAGGATGCAGCACCTACCAAAGTTGGTTCAGGGGGCAGGCTAGGCTAGGTCATGCTGTAGTATCCAATGGAAAAGACCAAGACATGTGATGGGTTATACTGGACTGGGTCAGAGAAACTACTGGCATAGGGAAGATCTGTGGCTGGGAATAGGCCTTGTTGGAGAGCTAACGAGATGCAACAGCTGGGCTGCAGTTTCCATTGGAGAGCACAAGAGCTGGAATTGGGGTGGTGAATCAGGCTGGACACTAGGAAGAGACTGATAAAGGAGTCTGGAGAACTCCTCTGTCAGGACACAGTCTCTGCAGGTGAGCACAAAAACCAAAACTGGGAGCAGCCCAGACCAAACCATGTTACAGTATCAGCATGCATACATGTGGGTCAGGTTTGGGGGCAGGCCAGGCTGGGTCAGCTCAAAACACTGTCAGTTGTGAGAACCAGGACGGGGTACAGGACAGATGTGTTGGGCCACAGTACCAGCCAGTTCACAAGATGGCCAGGACTGTGGGTTGGCTGGGCTGGACTAGGCTGCAGCAACCACCAGGATGAGTGAAGTAGAAGCAGATCAGACAGAACCAGGATGCAGCACCCACTGGTAAATGCTGAGGTGAGGCGAATCATGCTACTCTAGGCCACAGCTCTCACCAGCACATGTGGGGTGCAAGCCCTGTAAGGGAGCTTTGAGAACTCCCCTGCTGGGTCACTGCTCCTGTTGGTGAGCATAAGAGCTGGGACTGAGGGCAGACCAGGCTAGGCAGGACTATAACACCCATTGGCCTGCATGTGAACTGGGTCACGAGGAGAACCAGGCTGAGTTAAGCAACCATATGCACTGCTGCATACATGAACCAGAGTAAGTGCAGGCTGGTTGCACTTTGCCTCAGCACCAGCTAGTAGATACCAGTACTGGGGACAAGTCCTGTCAAGCTGGACTGTAGAACCAACTGGAAAATGCAAGATCTGGGCCTTGGAGTTGGGCTAGTGGGAAAATTGTGGTGCCTCTCTGATGGGCTGCAACTTCACCTACTGAGCATGAGATTCAGGGATGGAGCAGGCTTGGCAGGACAGGCAGTGGCACCTGTCACCATGAGTGTGGGTGGGATAGTGGGGTTGGTCAATTTGAGCTTGACTACAACACTCATTGATGTATACAAAAGCCAAACAGAATGCAGGACACCAGTTAGCTGCACATACTGACATGGGCAGGAACTGGGACTGGGAGCAGGCCCAGTGGGGTTATTATGGGTCATTCTGACTAGGCTGCAGCTCCCACTGGTGTACATGAGAACCGATTGTGTGGTGGGCAGGGTTGGGCTAGGCTGTAATACCTACTGGTTTGCTTATGAGATGTGGCTGGGACAGATCTGACCAGGTGACTGCAGCCATATAATCATGTGTATAGGTTGATGTGGTTGACTGATTGAGCCGGACACTGCAGTGACTGGCACACACAGGAGTCAGGTTGGGTTCACCTCTAGCAAGGATTCTTTGGGGATCCCCACTCGAACCCCAACCATGGTGAAAATCACAGGATTGTGAATGCATGTGTTAGAACTGGCTCTCCATGGTTGCTGAAAACTGCAATGGATGGCATGCCCAGATATTCGAGGACAGGACAACCAGTTCACTGAGGTCTGCAGAGGACCTCTTGTAGCATGGAGGGCAGAACAAATTGAGCAGCTCTCTGGTCAAGGTTTGACAGCGAGTATCTGGGCAAATTGAGACTCCAAGGTGGACAATATTGGCAAATAGACCTTAGAAGGATTTCCTCAACCTTGGAGCAGCAAAATCAACAGCATCTCAGAGCTATTAAAACCACTTAATCAGCATCCTCAGAATGTGCTCCACATCATGGACTCTGGGATGACAACAGGTGGCCACCCTCCATTCCCAGGTACTGATGTGGTTGGGCTGATGGAAGCAGCTTTCTCCCCTTTTCTCCCCACATTTCCCAGGTATAGGAAGAAAAAAGGAGATTGGAAGCAGATGTCTTATCCATTTTCCCCTATTTGTCAATCCACCACATCCTAATTGATAGTCCACATGGCCATGCATCCCTCTCAACTACGTAAATATCATAAAAAATAAAATGGATTATTAAAAACATAAAAATTTAAAATATTTATTTTTCTTGGAAAGGCAGATTTACAGAGAGAAGTGACAGAAAGATCTTCTGTTCACTGGTTCAGTCCCCAAGTGGCTGCAATGGCCAGAGCTGAGCTGAGCTAAAACCAGGAGCCAGGAGCTTCCTCTGGGTCTCCCATGTTTGTGCTGGGTCCCAAGGCTTTGGGCCATCCCCTAATGCTTTCCCTGGTCACAGGCATAGGAGGTAGATGGTAAGTGGAACAGCTGGTGCACAAACTAGTGCCCGTATGGGATATCAGTGCACACAAGGTGAAGGTTTAGCCACTGAGCCATCACTCAGGCCTACATGAAACAAAGCTGCCTCAATATAATTTTATCAACTCTTCTTTGCTTCCTCTCTCTAGTACCATTCCCCAAACCAAGACTCTGGCAAAATTAAAGAAAAAGAAAACCAATGAAGTGCTCATTACATTTTAATAGGTGTTTTATGGGAATTGTTTTTAGTTCTAGAAGTAAACCCTCTTAGTTCTTTACATTTGCTTCTTATTGTGTAAGTCCATATGCAGATGCCGCTGGTATTTTGTGCGTATTTTTGGTGGTTTTTTTTTTTTTTAGCTGACAGTCATTTTACAGAATTCTAGTTTAATCTTATGTTGAGGGTATCCCATAGTGTTTTATGAGCTAAAATGTGGTCTTTTTCTGGGGAACATTGCGTCTTCATTTTCTTCATTTTCTTCATTGTCTGGATCGTTCACTAAAGCAACCATACTGCTACTGTACGTGTTACTTGTTCCATCATCAGGGCTCCCAGAAAGCGGGGAAGGACATTTGAAGCCCCCAGAAGATGTTCTTTTGGGGAGGTTTGCTTTGTCTTCATTTTCATCCATTTTAGTGTCCATTATCGAATCATCATAACCTGAAAAGTCACTCTCTAGTGGTGGTAAAACAGCTTCTCTTTTATCTTTACTGCAATCTTCTTCTTCTCTCATGTCCAAATCGTTGACTGCTTGGCAAAGTATTTTACTATATAGTACAGAATGTAAATTTTCCTTTACTTGACTCTGCCTAAGCTTCTCTTGCTCATATTTGTTTTTTAGTCCTTTGAATGTGTTAACATATTCAATAGACTGAAGCACATTATAATGTTCAACTATGTGTGTAATAAGAGACTTGATGTTTTCCACTCTTATGTACTCGAACAACTCAATAATAGCTGAATTCAACATATTGTAACGAGTTCCATTATCAAGAAGGGCCTTTATCACTGGTTCGAAAAGCTTTTCCTTGATGATGTAACGATTGTAAAGTTCATCTTTAATGCCAATCATCCGTCTCATAAAGCGAATAGCCGCCAATAGCAGGAAAGTGTGCTTTGAAGTAGTCAACATCAAGACTCTTTTTAGCAAATCATGGTTCAAAATATAGTGTTTTATATAATGTGTGTGATGTTGCACACAAAACATAAGTAGTTCTAAAATTAAATTTAGCAGCTGTGCTGTTTGATAATTATTAGAGGATTTTTTGTTTTCGTCAGACCCAACTACATTGTCTTCACATCTGTCTTCTGATGTAGTAGCCAGAAGTGGTCCTATTAAGTTATGCATACAATGCTTATAAAAAAAATTGAGAAATTCACTTCTTTCACATCTATTAATTATTATCAGCATGTTGTCTGGATCAAGTAGACAACGAAGAAGTCCAAGTAAATGAAGAGCTCCGCCAAGCTCAGGATCAGTATCATAAACAATTTGTTCAATTATCATATTAATGAAAAGGTCATCATCTTCCTTCTCCTGTGCTTCTTCCATTATATATTCTCGAATCGTGGATGGACTATACTCTACTAGATAGGTAAGTATATCTGTAGCTGCTGTTTTGGTTTGCAAATCGTCCACATTCATTGCCATTTTAAGAGCTGGAAGAATTCCTAACTCTGTCAATGTTTTGAATAGCATCTCCTTACTATCAGGCTCTAAAGTCTGAGAAAATGCACAGAAATCCTTGAAAAAGAACAACAATTCACGCCGTTTATCATCGTTTGTAGTCTTATCCTTCATCTGTGCAAAAACTTCAAATAAAAACTTCTCATCTTTTTGAAGCATGCTGACTATCTCAACCTTGTTGAAGAAAATGAAAGCTGCGGTTGTAGAAAAAATATTTTCTTCAAATACAGATGGAACAGGTGAAAGAATATCATGAATGTACTGTACTCTGTAAGTCTGATGTATTTTTTGCTTCAGTTCAGAATCCGTTATTGGTACAACTTCCTTGAACTTGGCATTTTGGGTTAAGAATTCCCTATGCCTTTTCGGCTCATCCAGTGTAGGGTCATATTCAAGGCAACCCACCACATCCATAATACATTCATCAGAAAATAAGATTTCAAGCAGAGCTGTCTTATTCAGAGACAAGATGCTTTTAATGATGACATATAGGCGGTGTAAACCTTGAATGTTGTGCTGGTCTTCACAAGTGCGGAACAGCTGTAGTAGTTTTTTAATATAATTATCATGCTCTAAGTTCCGACCCAGCCTTTCCCTAAGGATGGGTGAGGTGAGTGCCGAGGTGACTAAATTAGCGATTTGCTCCAGTGCATCGATTTCACAGTCAGGGAGTTGAATTGAAGGGCTGGCGTCTACCCTTTCAGTTGGCCGATGTTCTTTGGACTGGGGTAAAGGTTGTGTAACATTGACGCTGGGGTCTTTACCCTGTATTCGGCAAATGTTCTCCCACATCTCACGACAGCCTGAGATGTCCTGGAAGCTCAGTGCCAAACCTTGGTTTTCAGCTTCATACCAAAGTATCAACACTCCCTGTAGTTTCTTATAGGGAGTTTCGAGATTTATCTTTGATTCTAAGAGCAGTGAATCATCAGTCTCGGAGCGAACAACCAGAGCTACGCCCTGAAGCCTCTCCACATAATCGATTGAGACCTGTCCAGTTCCAATATTGTCCCAAAGCTTGTCTTCACTCATGACATAGACTCTCACACGGTGCTGCCGCGGTTCCGCCATGCTGATACCTGCGGCCTGGCTTTGGCGGCGCAGAACTCTGCTTTCCGCTCTTTGTTGCCTTGCCAACCGTAGCTTCCGCTTCCTCCGCCTGGACGGTGGCCCCAATGTGACAATTCAAAGCGAATTGCAATATAAGACAGCTGACAACGGGGCTGGTGGGGGGGGAGGACTTGGCACGGGGTGGGGTCAACAGGATCTTCTGGAGCTCCTGCTACCTCTTCCCCAACTTGCAACACTGCCAGCTACTTTGTCCCTCCTTTTGCTCTTCTTCTCCCTTATTGCTGTTTAGGAATGTCTCAGTTCTGGCACGAATCTTTTCCTCCAATGTTTATTCCCTCAAACAGTCACTATGCACTAAGTACTACATTCGTTGAAGGAAACTGCTACCGAGTTTATCGAAAATTTAGGAATTGGGGTGTGTTGTCTCCAAAAAGGGTTTTGTCCCTCAGAAATATTTTCATTCACACAAATGTGTAGTTATAGGGACTTGAGGCCTTTAATAAAAGACAGCTTAATCTTAACGTCCTGTGTCAAGGAAACATTGATCCAAATAGGATGGAGTAGTAATGCAGCTGACTTTGCAGGAAGCTGACCTCCAATATTCCAATATGGGGAATTCTACTGGGTCCTCCAGTTCAAGTCCAGGCTGTTCCTCTTCCCATCCAGAGACCTGCTAACGGACCTGGGATGGTAGCAGATGCTGGGATAATTATCACTTTGCTTTCAAATAAGTAAGTAAACCTTTGAAAAGAAAGGAAAAAAAAAAGATGCAAGAATAAGTAACTTACAGACCATTTACAAGAATTACAAGGTTTGTCAACATGGCACAGTGGCTTGATGGCTAAATTCTTCAGCTTGTTCTTGTCCTGACTGCTCCACTTCCCTTCCAGCTCCCTGCTTGTGGCCTGGGAAAGCAGTGGAGGATGGCCCAAAGCTTGGATCCCTGCATCCATGTGGGAGACCCAGAAGAAGCTCCTGGCTCCTGCCTTCAGATCAGCTCAGCTCTGGCTGTTGGGGCCACTTGGAGAATCAAGCAGTGGACGCAATATCCTCTGTCTCTCCTCCTCTCTGTAAATGTGTCTTTCCAATAAAAATAAATAAATCTTTAAAAAGAGAGAATTATGAGGCTTGGCCAAAGCCTCAATGACTAACTTGTCCATTATTGAGGGACAACACTCTTCTAAGCAGGGCTGACCAACTCCTTTGCTCACTTCACCTCAAATCAAAGCTCTATTTTCTAGCACAAGGACAAGAACTTTTTGTCAAAAATTTGCAATCTGTAAGCACATTCCTTATTCTTAAGGAAGGGATTGGTTAAAGGGAAACTGTGAATTGAAATGCTCCAGAGTGAAAACTGACCATTACAGCTAAATCATTTATTTTCTTAATAATAACCACAATAATTAATCATATTTGAGTACTTACTATGAAGAAAGGTAATAATGTAACTAGTCAGGTATAATACTACATTAAACATAGTATTCTGCAGTGAAGACAATGTGACAAGAACTTTACATTTATATTTACACAGAATTAATAATAACTTAATATCAGGAAACAGAGATGTTAAATACATTGTCAAAGGGCACAGAATAAATAAGTTGAAAACTGACTTGAACACACGTCCTTGTGATTTTGAAATTGATTTTCTCAGCACTGAACTGTTCTACCCTTCTTTTCTTGGCCTTCATTACACTTTTTTTTCACATTCCTTCCATCCATATAATTTGTAATCAGCATAAAATTATCATGAACAAGATGAAAGTCACACACTTCCTCCTTTAGAACATCTGTGTATAGCCAAATGAAAAATAGAAGCTTGGATATGGCAACTCTTTAAATAAATTTTAAAAATTTTAATAGTAACTAAGTTGATTTTTGATGTAGTGGCAATTTCCACAGTTTTCTGTTAAAAAATAGTCTCCGAAGACATTAACCCTGTTGTTGTAAGGGAAAAACTGAAAACTTGGCCACACTAATTTCAGCTGGATTTGAACAGTCTCATCTGTAATAATCACTTCAGGTTGCAAACCACTGGTGATATGTAGAATTGTCAAGTAGAGCAAAACCAACTTCTTACAATGTCACATCCAGAAGATTATAGTCTGGAATATTCCCAAGGGCAGTGTCATTAGAGCTCTTGGAGGATTAAATGCAAATAATAGTCATTTCATGAAAAAATTAAATCTGTACCAACATACAACTGGTTTAGAAACATTTATAAATTATAAATAATATTTATATGTTAGGATTTGTAATATAAAAAACATGTCACTAGTTAAAACATACCTATGTCACCAAAAGAGAATATATAATAATAACTGTATGTTAATGGTCCAATTTTTTTTACTGTGTTTACATTAAAGTGTCTCTTGGAATCAATAATATTGTCAATTCTCTGAATATGCCTTCAGGTTGCATTTTCTGAGAAGCATTCAGTATTAATCCATGTGCTTTCACAGTTTTCTCCCTGGGAGTTTAGCAGAGGCCAGTCAAAATTTTTTTTATCTTAACTGGATAATAAAATCCTTTTATAATCTAAAAGAGCCTTAACTATATTTTTATAAAGATTTATTTTACTTTATTTGAAAGGCAGAGTTACAGAGAAAGGAGAAACAGAGAGAGGCCCTTCATCTGCTGGTTCACTCCCCCTCAAAATTTCAAAGATCAGAGTTAAGCCAATTTGAAGCCAGTAGCCAGGAGCTTCTTTCACATCTCCCATGTGTGTGCATGGGCCGAAGTCTTTGGACCATCCTTTATGGCTTTCCCAGGCTACAAGCAGGGAGCTGGATCAGAAATGGAGCAGCCTAGACGCAAACCTATGCCCCTATGGGATGCCAGCTCCACAAAGGCTTAGACTACTACACCACAGGGTTGGCCCCAAATCTGCATTTCGTATTGCTGCTTCTGCAATAGTTTCTTTTGGCTTGAGAAGTAGAGCAATACCTTTATTTATTTTTGTTTCATCTATTGAAGATGATTTTTTTTTATATTTTTGTGTTTGTTTTGCAGGGAGCAATATATGATGTACAAGCAAATGCAACAGTCTAGGAACTAGTTCTCTTTAAATTCACTGTTTACTTTTCATTTAATTCTTATACAATAATGATCTAAGAAACATATTATTGCTACCATATTAGAGGAAAAACCTTGCAACTCCAGAAACAAATCAGGTGCCTGGTTTACTGCAATAAATGATTCCAGGATTTGAAACCACACCTTTCAGAGCCCCAATTCTCCACTTGGCTTTTCCAAAATATGCAGTGTTCTCTTCCACAGATACACACATTGTCATGTGAAATGTTTACAATGTAGCTAAAGCCTTCCTTTTTTTTTTTTAATTTGAGACTAAGGGGGAGAAAAAGCAAGAATTTCTCTCACACATTCACACACAGACAACACATACAGTGGGGCAGCTGGGATGGAGAAAAAACAAAGTGAGGGGAGGCAGGAGGGAGGAAGGGAGGGGTGAGGGAGAGCAAGCATGAGAGTGAGTGAGTGAGTGAGAGTGAGAGAGAGAGAAAAAGAAAGAGAGAAAGACCCATCTACCCATCTGATGGTTTTCTCCACAAAGATCTGGGCTGGGCTAGAGCTCAGAGACAGAAAGATATTGTGGGTAGCATGGACTCAAATTCCTGAGCCACTGCCTGCTACCTTTTAGGTCCTGCATTAGCTGGAAGCAGATGGGCAACATGTCTGCCTACAACAATGTGATTTTTATCCCTGTTATCACAAGTATTTAATCTTTCTCCAATTTATTTTGTGGAGGAAAGCATTTGTTTCCTTTTTTTAAGGCCACTTACAACCAAAATGTGTGGATTTAACCATAAAATTCAGGATTCTTTCTATTGGTTACTCCCATAACATTCTGTCCTTGAGATGAATACTAAAGATCTTGGAATTCACCCACATTTTAGGATTACCAATTTCCTAATGTTTATAGCCCAGAGTTCTTTTAAAAGATTATGAAGAGTGAATTACATATTTCTGGATTTCGGGTATGGACAACTCAAACATGTATAAACAGAGCATTTAGATATCTAAGTATGGCATTTTTCAAAGAAGAAAGCTTTTAAAAATGGGTAAAGCAGAATTTTTAGGTTTTGAAATAGCACTGAAAATAGGTGCTTATCAAATAGCACTGAAACATAGCTTATCAAAAAACTTCAAAATCATTTTGGTCAAATAATCATACATATATTACATAAATTCTCAAACTTATTTCTGTGGAATTTTTTTTTCACCTACCTCATGGGAACATCTGAAACATAAGACAAGTGATGTTGATTCTGTCCTTGTTGCTTAGGCAAAAAATGCGGAGTCATTCTCAAACTTTCCCATTTTGTTATCTTTTGTGTTCAGTCTTCTAACGTATATATGCTAACATAAAATGTATTCAGGGTCCCACCATTTCTCACTATCAGTCACCTTCACCACCAGTGTCAAAGCCATCATCACCTCAATTCTACGATTGTGTAATGGTTTTTGCCTTTCCCCCCTTCTAATATATTCTCAATACAATAGCCACAAAGGATTATTTTAAAATGGAAGTCATGTGCTCCTACCAATGCATATCTACCTTAGAATAAAAGCCAAGTTGCTAACACAGTCAAAAAGATCTGAATCCCCTAGCTATTTGAGATCTTCAAATGATACTTCTTTCATTCTACTGCAGCCATACTAGCTGTCTTTCTGTGCCAGAAGTGTATCAGGAACAAGACTATTTCAAGATTTTATATCTATCCTTCTTTCTACACAAAATGCTCTAGTTCTCAATATCACATGACTCACTTTTTTCAACAATTTACACAGCAGGCTTTCAACCTAGTAGCTAAGATGCCAGTTAAGACACCTGCATTCCACAGTGGAGCGCCCGGCTTTGAGTCTCAACTCTTAGTTTTGACTCAGGAGGCAGCAGTGATGGCTCAAGTAATTGGGCCCCTGCCACCCATGTGGGAAATCTGGATTGTTCTCACTCAACTCTTTGATACTACCTTGTC